TAAAAAAACAACATATTATAGGTCAAAATTCACGATTAACATGGTCATACAAACAGCTCTAAATCTGGCAATCTCCTGGAGAAATAAATAAATAAATAAATAAATAAATAAATAAATAACAACATATTAAAGGTCAAAATACTGATAAATTTGTAAGTCACAAACCCCCCAATCCACACACATGGATGATTCACTTCATCAGTTTTGTTTCACTAGAAGCTGCCCTGATTTTTTTTTTCACAAGCAAGGCTGCCTATAAAAACTCACAAGGACACACACACATTTGAATCTTGTTTATAATTTGTTTGAAGTATTCAAAGCAATTCAATATCATCATGACTTTGTACATATTCAAAGCCCTCCTTCTTATGGGCTTTGCATTTACTCAACTAAAGTTCCCACAAGATACATACAATGCAATATTATCAGACTAGTATTGTTCTAACAAACAGGGTCGTCAAATTATTAAAATGCATCTCTGACAAAATAAAATAATTTTTTCCAATAACTGCTTTGATGTCTCTTACCATCATGAAGTTCATCCCAATGCCCCAGAAAAATGACAGGCGAGGAGCAAATTCATCAATATGCAGGCCTGCTTTTAAACCTTCAAATAAAAAAAAAAAAAAAAAAAAAAAACAGAGAGCAAATTAACACATTTTAATTTGAAGTCAAAAAGAAGTAGTTTATGGATCATTGGTAAAGTTATACCTGTACGATATTCAAACGCTTCCTTCCCTTCTGCAATATGATATAAACTGAAAATACATAAACTATAATTTTAAGCTTATTACTGATAAAACTGTGACAGTTCCATATGCCAGCATGAGACAAGCAAGAAAAATCAATCAACAACTTTGTTGTCAGGAAAGGCATAAACAGATAGACATTCTACATTGAATTCCAGTCAAGTCACCCAACATAACGAGGAATAAATAAATGTATGTTCTTCATTTTTGACAAAATGTAACAGAACTTCTTCAGCTGAAACTAGCAATATTAAATGAACATTAATATTCTTTCTTGCTAGACTGCTGCCATTGCCTACTGCAGCGTCATCAAAAGGGGTGGAACTTATATTGCTTACTGACACCATCCATAGTATATAAATCAGTGAACCAGCGTATTATCCCATACAGGAGGCTGTAAAATATTGGAGAAAATGGTGAAGAACAACAAGCAACTAGCACCTGGGTTCTACCAAGACCTGGCAAGTTTTGGAGATCCTTCAGACAGCAACGTGCAGAAGACAATCAAGGTAGGTTTTGTATTTATTTATTTATTTTTTCATTTAACAATTTCATGTTACTCAAGGAATCTATACTTTTGTTGATGTAACATGCATGTGTGAGGTTGTAATTGTGTTAGTGTACTTGTAGTGTGTTTGTCTCTTTCCATTAAAATTTTGTGTTTGTGTATGTCTGTTTATCTATGACACACACCCTTTCTCATTTCGCAGCACATTTGCCCTCTCACATGTCGCATACATTTACAAGTAAAAACTGACTTGATTGGTTTCCTCTTTGTTGTTTATATGATTGAAGAGTTAAGTTTAGCTTTATTTTTTAATAAAGAAATATAATTTTTAATTTGTTTATTTCATGTTATTTCATCTCAAATGTTCTTTCTTTTTAGTCTTAGTTTTCGTAATTTCTTCTGTTTGTGTCTTGTACATTGTACAGGTCTGGTGAATAAACAATAAGTTCATTTTATAGGCACGTTCTCGAGTAATTCACAAGTCACTACTGTTGGGCTGATTTTCATTATGTGCACGCAGTACTCTAAACAAAACATCTACTTATATATATATATATATATATATAATACCTACAAGTACATAAATGTTGGTAAACATTTTATGGCTGGATACAGACCCATCAGTCGACAGATATGCTCTATCTTCTGCTGGCATTTTTGGTGTAGTTGCCTACTTTTCTCAGACACAACCCTTAGCAAAATGAAGTATGCAGCAATATTGCAGCAAAATTGCTAAAATTACTTTTAGTTTGCAGGACAAATGTATATCAAAATAATAAAGAACATCAAAACATTACCATCAAGTTATTTTGTAGTTTAATATGCACACAGAAGAAAATGATCAGTTCATAAAACATTGTGTCTAATATGCTCTAGTGCTGACAGAATAACATCATGACCTTTTCTGCAAAAGCCATTAGAATTGAGATGCAAAATGAATTATACCAGCATTTTTAATATTCATAAGGGAAAGTAGCCCCTACATTTTTATCAGCACAGTGAATGTTGGTAAAATACTGCATATAGTCAGACTGCCACTGACAGTGTGTGTGTGTGTGTGTGCATATTGATATGGGTAACTTAAGCCTGCTATGTCTGTCTGAAATGAACCCTGTTTAGCAGAAAACGAGTCTTATCCAGAACTGACTTTATGTCTCCTTGATCTAAGCTAATTGAATATAACAGCATGCAAAATCATGTAACAAACACAAGTATGATGTTCGAAATTTGGCCGATGACGGCCGCATTTATTTAAAGTCCCAGTACTAAAAGAAGTGAAGCAGATGGATACTAAACGCTGAATAGTGTTAACAAAAGACATAGAACATTTATGTGTGCGCCTGAAATATCTACATATAAAATAAAATTTCCAAAGAGATAGTGCACACTTTTCAATTTTTTTGCTAGATAATCTAACTTCCCAAATTTTGCAGCATTGAATCCGAGGCTAGATAATCTAACTTCCAAAATTTGCAGCATTGAATCCGAGGCTACGAGCTAATTTCTAAGTGTTAGATCGTCGCCATAAATCAACGTTTGACTACGCCAAACTTCCCTATTTTGTCTGCTTAGAATTTTATTCTATTTGGTCTTTCACCAATATATAACACAATGTACAGTAGTCCACTAAAACAAAGTACCTTGACTAGTCCAAAATTTCTTGTTTTAAATGTGTTAAAAAATAAAAAGCAAAAAAAAAAAAAAAACAAAAAACAAAAAAAAAAAAACAAAATAAAAAAATAATAAAAAAAAATAAAAGAAAGCAGGTTATTTTGTTCTAATTTAGCTGCAGTGTTATCAGCCTAACCAACCCAGTATACTATTACCCAGCTGACAATATCACTCCACCTAGAACAACCCTGCATCAAGTCTGCATCCACTCCTCAGTGTCATACCCTGCTTCATCAGACTTGACTCACAGCAAACTAGAATTAATTCTGTTCCTAATTGCTAAGACCACTTTCAGGTCCATAATCAGCTATTTCAAAGGGGGGTTTCTGAATAAATGGACCTTTTCCCATAAAACCTTCATGGGCCTAGATAAATTTTCATCCAGAGCTGCCTTTTCCCAGCAAAAAGGGCTGTCCGTTCAAACTCCCTGAACACCCTCCTGGCAGCATCCCTGTCTTTATAACTAACAAAGCACCCATGTGAAGCCATCCCTATAGAGCCACTGGCCCATTACTACTGTGACCTACCTGTCCTACAGTACTCTAAACCATCAGCAATGGTGAAAGCCATCTCCAATACAGCATCAGCCCCTGCTTCCTGCATGTGGTAGCCCGAGATGGAGATGGAGTTAAACTTGGGCATGTTCTGAAATGAAGGGATGGAGAGCTTAGTACTTTCTCATAATTCTCTGACCACAGACTGGATTACAGTCACTGAATGTACTTATTATAGCCTATTATTCAGAGTTGTCAGAGAAAATAAATGTGAACATAAACTTGAACCCCCACCCCATGAACCTTTTAATCAGAAAAGAGAAATGAAAATAAATTCAAAACTTGAAGTTCCTATCATGAAACTCTCGTGCCATAAACTGCGCTCTTTTCAAACTGTGTCAAGATGGCTGACTACCACGGTTAGACAGGGGACAGTCAAAATGATTATTTTTTGTGATATTGATTAACACAATTTATCGGTGTTATGTTGTAACAGTTTTCATTGTCCTCAGATGTTCAACAACAAGCAATCCATGCAATCAGAATGTGCCTTCAAATACTGTAATTTACTATCTGCATAAAGCATTAGGGTCAGGAACTGAACATATTAATTTATACACATGTCAGAAAATTACTTACATGAGCCGTATAGGAGAAAATATCAGCAATACTCTTCATAGATGGTTCAGGTGGGAAGATGTACGTGTTCCGGACCATGAACTCTTTGAGAATGTCATTCTGAATGGTACCAGTGAGTTGTTCTTGCTTCACACCCTAAAAATTGAAACAATGGAACAATAAACATCCTTATCTTATGAGTCACAACCATATTTGGCACTGGAAACTTATGAATGTTCTTGTAAATGTTCTTGAGTCTCCAGTCTATGTAATAATCATTTACAGAATAAATGCATCTTATAAAATAGTATGCAAAATCGTTGTTAAAAGATAGGAATTATTAGGATAAGGTACAAATAAATAAATAAATAAATAAATAAATAAATAAATATCAGGGACTAAGCCATCCTGATTTCCCCTTATTCATATCAAAGAATCCCCGAGTAACACCATCCCTGTACAGTTGTGTGACCAAGGAATGAGTAAAATAATTCCACCCACTTGTTCTTCAGCAGACACCACATACATAGCCAGTATGGGCAGCACAGCTCCATTCATTGTCATAGATGTGGAGATCTTCCCCAGTGGAATACCGTCAAATAGTAACTGAATGGGAAAAATAATAATTATTAAGTGCCGTGAAATGGCACACTTCAATTTATCTTACGCGAAACTAAAAACCAACAAGCATAAAACCTGCCTTGGAAAATGCTCATCTGCAATAGGGGAGAAGATTAAATTAACTGCTTTTAGACCGTAAAAACATCATGTACTGTCTAATTCAAAGTTATAATGCAAATAAAGCGCACAGTTACAGACAATAAAAACATGTACTATCTAATTCATAGTTATAATGAAAATAAAGCACACAGTTATAGACAATAAAAATATCATGTACTACCTAAGACAAAGTTACAATGAAAATAAAGCACACGTGTACAGTTCCTACACTGATATTATCATGATGGTCATGTTGTTATCACCTTAGTATCCTCCACAGAGTCAATGGCGACTCCAGCCATCCCCACATCCCCCGATGCTCGCGGGTTGTCCGAGTCATAGCTGAAATATAAGGAAAAAAATAATACTTCTATGCAGCTATGATATTTAATTTCCTAAATTCAAATGTATCACCAATTTCTCCATTTCTATTATCTTAAATTGTATTTTTCCATTGCGTGATTGAAAGCACCATTAACTGACTGATTATTAATCAATTATCTGCATGTTTTTAGATTGATAATTATTCCATTATACGATACTACAAAAAACTGAGCAAACGCTACTGAGTAAAATTAAATAACTAAATATTGACTGCCTAAAAATCATTTGGGAAATGTATTCAAAGGGGAAAATGAAATTTAAGGAAGAAACAAGAGGCTCAGGGTTAAAGAATAGACAATATGTATAACACAGATTTCACAAACATTCTTTAGTTCAATACAGCAGATTCCTTTAAAATCCTACACGAAGTGAACATGGTATAATACTTGACGTTCACACTCACCCTCTGTGTGTGGGCAAATCAAAAGCCACGCTAAGACCCTGCTGTCCTGCAGCAATGTTTTCTCTGTAGAACTTGTTGCTCTCTTCCACTGTGCTAAACCCTGCATACTGAAACAAGAAAACATGTATTATTTAATAATACAAGTTCTCTTCTACATGCTGAAACAAGAAAACATGTAACATTTTATAATACAAGTTCTCTTCCACTGTGCTAAACCCTGCATACTGAAACAAGAAAACATGTATTATTTTATAATATAAGCTCTCTTCCACTGTGCTAAACCCTGCATACAATAATCAATCAATTTCTCTATGCTGTCATTTCTATGCATTTATGGGTTGTCAGGATTATAAATAATAATACTAATAACAAAAGTAATAAAAGATAATAGGGGTTCAGTCAAAACATTTAATTGATACCACTTGATTTTACCTGTCTGATAGTCCAGGGTCTCTGTGCATACATAGTTGGATAGGGTCCCCTGGTGTATGGAAACTTCCCAGGCAGCTCATCCACCATCCTGGCTGTGTCCTGCTTGGTATACAGTGGCTTCACATCAATACCCTGCAGTACAGATAATAGCATGTGTTAGACCTGATTCAAAAAGTACAAAATAGTCATTCACTTATATTTTCTTTTACGAGAAATATAGATAATAAAATGTATAAAAATATAGTTTAAAATCTGGGTAACAAATTATGCGTTTCACAAATGTTTCATCATGTTGTGATAAAGTGTTTTACTATATCAATACCCTGAAACTAAATTAAGAATTAATTTTGGACAGTTTGATTATAAACACTCGTCCAAAAAAAGTTTGGAAACATGACCATATATGCCCACTATCCTCATACTAGTTCCATGGATGCCAATTCAAAATGCGTAATTTTGAAAAGAAAACACATGACATACAAGGAGATTTACGTATTACACAGGATCCAGGATATATAATCCTTTCAAACTGCCTTAACATACTGAACGCAACTAAGCCACAGTCCCCTACCTCTGGAGTGTGCCATATCAAGGTTTCTTGTGGGTCCTTCCCCTTCAGTTGCTTCTTGGCTAACTCTCTCCATTCTGGATGTAAGGGCTCCTGGTGGAATCCTCTCACTGAGGCAGCTGGCAAGCACACCTAAATATCAAAGCAGGAAAAAATGTTTGAGTCTTTATGGTTGAAAATAAGAATTTTATTGTTGCAAAAAGATTCACTTGGAGATTATATTGGTAGAAGAACACCTACTGTTGAGCTTTTGAGCCACGCACCAGATTTTTTTTTTGGGGGGGGGGGGGATGAGGGGGGTGATCTATGTATGAATGCAGTCTGACAAGATTATCATAGGGCAAATCACAATGGCAATGCAAAATGCAGCACTGTCACAGATGTCAAGCCAGTGCTGTGTGTACGAATAAGCAAATTAGTATTAAACATTATAAGAGTGAAAAATGCATCAGTGCATATGCAGACAATCTCTACATGTATGCTACAACAGGCCCGTAGCCAAGGGGGGTTCGGGGGGTTCGAAAGAACTCCCCTTTTTGCTGGAAAAAGGTCCACTCTGGGTAAAATTTGACCAAGGTACATGGGGATTATATGGTAAAAAGGTCCACTTTTTCAGAAAAAGAACCCCCCCTTTCAAATTGCTGGCTACGGGCCTGTACAATGTATCTTTCCTCTCACCCCCTTAATTTAGAAGACAACAGACTGTAAGGTTGTGCAAAAATAGGTAGAGTAAGAGGTCCATATACTGACCAGTATGCAGATTATTGATCTTATGCTCCTCAGAGGTGGAGTCTGTCTTTTCCAAATGGGACAGAGAGTAAATATTGATGCATGCTATAATCCTACATGTACTTATCCATGACACCTATTAATTAACTTGGCGGTATTGCACTTGGCTCTAGTAGGCTGAAAAGGCAACACTTTCAACTTGTCCTTTCTATTTGAATTGTTAACTTTAACAATCAAGGGATAAAAGCTATGCAGTTTAATTAATTTAATTGGGTGCTTTTTTTATTTTCAAGTGGTGTCTATAAATTTCAGTCTGCTACCTTGTTGTTGATAGTGAAAAAAAAAAAAAAAAAACACAAGTAACAAGCCTAATGGATCACTGAATTTACCTGTGGTACTTATCTATACTCAAACATTGCCTAGGATCACAAACTCACTTGCTCCTCTAATGCAAAAATTTGAAACATTTTCTTCAACAACTCTGAGAATTAATTCAGTACAATACAAGAATAAATGTAATCAAAATCATTAAAACGATCCAACCAAACAATCTGGCATGATTTAAAAACAATGTAAGTATGCTAGCAACGGATGCATTCAACAGTTTGTTTTCAGTTGCTATAACTATGTCATTTACTGCCTTATTTTACCTGAAGGTCAAATATAGATCACACCACTGTCAGAAAGCTGCGCATTTTACGAGATGGCACACTTATATGAAAGGACTTCCACACATTTATCGTGTTGACAAACCTTTTTGAAAGTGCACAGTGCCTCAGCTTTGACCCTCCCGTGTACTCGCAACATTTTGGTTTTTCTCAAGCAGTAGCAGTGCTTTGCTTGTACGAAAAACGCTACGAAACATTCAACTACAGACTTCGTCTGCCCTAGAACCGAATGACCTTGACATTTTTAGTCACTGAGGAATGATGGGATAAATGATATAAACTGTGTGAACTGAATTAAATGGGATATAAACCACATATAATACATTAATTATAGTTTGAATCGAAAATATAAATAAAAATCACAAAAGAGTATTCTTCCATTTAAAATATACAGTATATTTCGTAAGAACAAAATGGACGAGTTTAAAATCCACAAACGTTCTGAAAGGGGTTTATGGACTACTTGATAGAATGCTTCCTGGCTTAAAACGAAATTATTTTGTAAAAGAGGAACTATATATATGCTTTCTTGAAAATATATATGTTGTTTATTTCCAGATATTTAAATAAGATAAAAAATAGTCTTTTTGGGGTTATGCAAGGAAGCTTTCATCCCTCAAAATTAGTATTCAAATTCGACCTAACGCTGTGACGTCACATACTAGGATCGACCTCCATTACCGGTGGAACGTGTTTGACGTTGGTAGAAGAACACTACTTCGGTAAGTTTTAACTGAAAATTGATCACAGTATCAATAGCAACTACATGATAGATTCTAAAATTTTCTCATTTGGATTTGTGATGAAATTGACTTTTGCTTGGGGCCAATCTTTTACAGATCGGCTTATGAATCGTAGGGTGAAATGGGCAATCAGCTGATGAAATAGAATCACGAAGTTTCTAGATCGCACTGTTTCATAATACCCTCCGCCGTGTTGTATAAGAGGAGAGTCTTTTCTATATAGTATAAGAACTATTCCAAGAATTCTTAAGGTTACAAACACGAAGACATTAACTGGTAAGCTCGTTCTTTCAACAGCAGGCGCCATCAGCAGCTGAAGTAGTGCGATCCCTTTTTTGGACATATTTGAATATCAATCGGAAAAAATAACGTAAAAAATGTACTTGGTGTCCTTGAAAACTACCACCGCCGATCAGTTTTGAAATCTTAACCTAGTGAAGCTACCAGATCTTGTGATAGTAACAATTTGGGAGAACGTGAGGAAAGAGGAGGTACTGTGCACACGTGGTGCCCATGCTGTCAGTACTAAATCGAAGTGTGTCCTTAATTGACCTTCACCTTCGGTCAGTCGTAGTTCACCTTGAAATGTGGAAAATGTGACTTACTGGTTGATATTAACATGTAGATTTTGCCAAATAGTTATACCAGAGCAGGGCATGGGTTGAATCTGTACACAAAGTTAAAGGGGAGAAGTGATGTACTTTAAAAAATATACATATATCAATATAAGCGTGGGCATCATATCCAAACCAGGGGTAATCCTAGAGAGGGGTGAGAAACGTCCATTGTTCTCGTCAGCGAGGCTGGCTTTTTTCAGGGTATGTACGCACAGACAGAAAACTAAGTATTGTGGGAACGTTACTAATGAAGCCACGTACTGGTAGTACTAGTAGATATCAGCCTGTAGTCTTGAACAAGCTCCTCGATGACGAGTGAACAGTTGTCAAAAACAAAAGACCCAGGTGTGGTAGTTCGACTACTGTTCATGCGTGCCGCAAAGACCAAACCTAATTGCTCCTCAAGGTCACAAAACAATATCCGGTACTGACGGCCAGGCTCGTCTTAATCATATAAGTAGCGCGTTTCCACCGCCTGTCCAAACTNACTCTTAAAGGGTATCGGAGTTCAAAGAAGCGTATCGGCAAAAAAAGAAGCGTATCGGCAAAAAAAATAGCGTATCGGGGCCGATACGCTATAAAGGCCTGGGGAGAACCCTGATATATCAATATAAGCGTGGGCATCATATCCAAACTTTCTCTGCCTTGGGTTATCAGACTGTTTACTTTGGGGTTAATTTGGGAGAGTAAGACCTCGTTCCCATTTCTTGTTCGATCTAGCAGGATTGACCCTTCTCAGAGGAGTTTCTCCCTAAATTACATTCAGCTGACTAGTAAGTGGCTCTGATGTCTGACACGCCTACTGAAGCTGTTAGGGGCTAATTGACTCATGTTTAGCAGCTTCGACATCAAGCTGCTTAATGTGAGTGCAGTTTAGCGAGAATGCCCTCTGAAATGGGCGTGTCCTGCTAGATTGATCTAAGACTCCACGAAAGTTAATTACCCCCTTACAGCTTGTAGTAGGCGGGACGGACATTTAAGCCGCATTATCTGACAGTAATCTAGTGAGACTCCCCACGGGGATAGATCGATCTAAAATCTATGGGAATGCGCCCTAGGTGTGGGAGTGGGGTCTTAAGCTGTGGTCAGAGAAGAAGTTATCACACTAGCAGGATCGTTCTATCTTAATTAGTAGGGATTCCTGCTAAAGAGCAGCCAATGTAGTCAGCTTAATTGCCTGGCACGTCCCCCCTTGTAACTTAAAGTACTTGGGTCTGGAAAATTTTGAAGTCCATGATGGCACTCATGTTGCTGTAGGAGGGGGTGTGCCAGACAGTTAAGCTGATTGTATTGACTGTGTCCTAAAGACAATTCTAGCTCAGATAGATCAATGTTGCTAGTGCGGTAACGTTATTCTGAACGTAGCCAAGTCACCTGGAGTACTCGCTTGTATACTGTCCAAATGCAGAATCAGTGAAGTGCTGCAACATAGAATTGGTCATCTGGCATAAAATTTTGAGTAGAACCTTACACTGTCTTGATTAATAATTAGATTTAAGGCTCAGACAGATTTCATCTTTAGTCACTAGCCATTGGATGTTACTGAAATTTATCAAATTTAAAAATATAAATTTAAGGGACCATCCAAGCTAGGTCATTTAGTCCAGGCTAGTCAATTACTAGCACAAATCTTTTTTTTTTTTTTTTTTTTTTTTTTTT